TCGCCGGTCCGAGCCATGCAGCGGATGGCCGATAATAATTTTTCATTACGCCAGGTCAGAGGAGAGAGCCGCGGCCGTCGATTCATTTTCAGATCTGAATTTTTAATGCCAAAGTTTTTTTTACTATGCGCAAAATTTATCAGAGTGTCTACTCTCTGGAGAAACATGGAAAACCTGGAATTCTCAGAAATTATTTTTGTATGTGAAAAAATCAAGGAATATTTATGGAATTTTATTGGGACTCAGGGAATTCTTTTTTAAATTCTCTCTTTGATAATTTTGTTCTCATATCGTAAACAGTCGGCAAGCCAAGTGAATTGTGCGTTTAAAATATATTATAAATATATATCTACTCCCCACCCTCTGTTTTTATATTCATTGTCTTAACAAAATATTGAATATGCAGTATATCTTCTATTGTAATTTTCATTAAAAAAAAATGAAAATGTTAAACGAAAGTTATTCAGTTTTTTCAGTACATTTACATATCTAGCACTTGAAACTTAAAGGGCCTCGCGTGTTTTTCCTTTGTATGCGTGAAAAACATTGAAAACACATACAATAAAAAAGTTTATTTTACAAAGTTGCATAAAAAAAAAGATCTTTAAAATATTCTCTTTACGTGGAATTTTGAACAAAGATACCTGAAAGATCAAGGAATTTTCAAGAAATCTTTTTACAAGCTTTGAGTAGAGAAATCCTGTTTACGCAACACAAATCACATTTATTGCATATTGCAACGTAAGATACGTAATGTTAGATCGAGTGTCGTAAAAGTCACGTAATAATGTACTTCTACACGACAATTTAGGATTGAATCGACGGTCGATACGATCGCGTAGATACGAAACAATGTAGGATTAGAAGACAACAAGGACGCGTGAGAGCATTCGTGAACCGTCTGGCGACCCTTTAATGAAGATTTATGCCAACATTCGTCTGGCCTTAATTGCCGTCAGGCCTGATCAATTGACGCCAAATCGCGTCGTTCCTTGTCGCTGCTCGCGCCTTCACATAAATCAAATGCTTTTGCGAAGAGAAATATCTAGAGTGATCGAGATTAATTGAGATAGAGTAATCGTGTGTTCAACATGGGCTTTTATACTTCAATATATTTCATACGTGGAAAATTATACATTCGCGAAGGTAAACGTCAGCGACGCGCGGAATGTTATGTAGAATAATTGAGTATTCATACGGAGTGCAATCGTTATTTCGATACTTTCTCATAATG